AGTTTTTAAACATTTGGAATTAGGCCTCTGTGTTATCGATACATACATCAGGTATACTCCGATCAAATTTGTTTAATTAGATGAACAATTTATTTCCTCATTTCAATGAATATAGTATAATGTTAATGATGTTTTAATTTAAGGTTTCTGTATGACAACATTATGCGCCCGCGTGGATTAGAAGCAAGATTTGGCTTCTTAGCTCCCAACACTGTCAATTCAGGGTTAATCGTAACAAGACCAGATGATGTTATAGCATATGTACTCGGTTTATTCGTGGCCAGCAAAGATACTGAAAAGTTGTTCTTTTTACCATATAATACTGGCTACGGGTTAGATTTTCATCCTAACTTGATCTATTATAATTTTCCGTTTTTGGCCATTGTTTAATCTTACAGTGGACACTGGTTATTGGTTGTGATTAATCCTATAAGAGATACTGTGTATTATCTGTATTTGTTATACAATGATTGGTCAACATATCCAGATTTGAAGAAGATGATTGACACGTAAGTTTTTCGCTCCCAAAGATATATATCTGGATTTGTGTTTATGTTTATGTTTCTATGTGAGATTGTTCTAAACAATCGTTTATATTATAGCGTTCTACTAGTTTTTCACTCCCAAAGAGATATTCAAGTGCCAAGTAGACCCAACAACGTTACATGGATCAGAGTGGAGGTATATTTTCATAAAGAGATGTTCGGTTTTGATTACATTAGTGACGATACTTGATAAAACAATTTAAGGGGTATATCCTGATATATATTCGTATTTTCTTTCCATGTGTAGTGTCCTCGCCAACGTAACGATATAGATTGCGTCTATTTCATGTTGAGGTTTATGAAAGAAACTATTCTTTTGGATCGATTAGAGATTCCATCCACGGTATGGATTTCGAACTTAGGAATTACATACTATTTTCATATTTTGTGTTTATCATAAAATGACAGATTGTTTTAACTAAATCACATATTATGTTATATTATTATATATGTAGTACTTTGAGGAATTCAATTGTGCACATTACTCAAAAGATCAATTGGATGAACTTAAGGAGGAATGGTATCAATTTATTATCGGGTTGAGAATTTTATAAGCTAAGGTATATTGTCTTATTTCCTTTGATGAGAACTTTCGAGTTTTGAGTATAAATTAAATTCGAATAAAGTGCAACATTAATATTATCATATTATGAATTTCGATCATTTGGTTTTTTTCAGGTTTATAGGTGCATGTGTAGAAGATAGAGCTAAGATATTCATGTTGTTGTTGTTTTATGAGAATTATCGAAGATAGTAAGATGTAGATGTAACATCAATTTTGAATTTTAGGATTTCCAACTTGTAGAATTTTAACTTGTATCATAAATTGTGTAGTTGTTGTTGTATATATCATCAATTTATATATGTGGAATTTTTACATATGTATATTTTATTGGAATGAAGCTACCAAATATGATGCATAATATGGTGAAAAACTGGTCCAAATATGGTTAAAATCTGATTAAAATGCATTATATATATTGGACAGCACTTTTGTAAGTCAAAATAGGTATTTTATTAAAAAAAATCGTGATCAATAGACGGCGCTTTAAGAGAAAAGCACTGTAAATAGTCAAAAAGTGATGTCTAAAGTGGGAAAGTGTTGTCTAAAGTAGGGGAATAGAAAGCGCTTTTAAAGAAAAGCGTTGTCTAAAGTCTAACTTAAAAAATAACATAAAGCGCTGTCTAAAGCAAAAGCACTGCTAAAGGGGTATATAAAAAAGAACTGTCTATTTTAAAAGCGTTGTCTAAAGGAGGTGCATAAGAAAGCGCTTTTAATGTAAAAGCACTACCTAAAGTGGGCTTAAAACAGCGCTTTTACATTGAAAAAAAGCGTTGTCTTTACTTTTAGCAGCGCTGCTTTAGGCAGCACTTTTAAGCGTTGTTAAAAGCACAAAAAAAGTGTTGTCTAATATCTTGTTTGGCATAGTGCTCGATCTACAGTTACATCGGGAGGCAAGCCTATACTGTCGTCGAGTATGGCGGCGGCCAAGAGGGTTTTCAAAGAAATTTTAAAATCATGAGGCTGACGCAAGACGCTCACATATGCTCGGAGTTCACCCATGATGCCTTTCCTATGTATGAGGTCGTGTTCAAAGACCTTGGACTTCGGCTTCCTTTTAACGACTTCCAGATGGGGGTGTTCAATCATTTGAACTTTGCGTCCTCACGGCTTTATCTCAACGCGATTGCCTTTATCCGAGCATTCAAACTTACATGCCGGTTCTTGAGGATTGGGGCGACCATTCCCCTGTTCTTCAGGGTTTTTCACTTGCAACGACAGTCTCGAGGAGGGAAACATAGTTGGGTATCCCTTAAACAGTCGAAGAGGCTGTTCAGGATGTACATCGATTTTGTCCGGGACTTTAAGGACAAGTGGTATATCTTGCAACCATTCATCCAAACAACCTTGGATTCCCTGTTCGACCCGGCTACCGTTGTGGATGAGGATGGGGAGTCATGCTTGGACGCCGAGGGTAATCTTGAGATTGGGATAATCTCAAAGTTTCCCATCCACTGGTGCTCGAGTTACTACGACCACGGTCCCGGATATTACCACACTTCCGCCAGCGGTATGAGCGTCGAAGACGAGGAGGCATATGGTTCCCTCAATCGATCCGTCGACGGTTTCTTCCCCGCCAGGTGGGTTACGAGGGAGGGACACAACGTCCTTGATGAAGACGGCGAGCCAACGTTCGAGGCACGTCCGATCAATACCAAGGCGCTCGTCGAGTGTCAATCTTACGGACAGGTCGTAGATCTCTTAGGTTTCCTGCTTAGTTTTACTATATTGCTTGCCTTCTTTTGTTTCTTCGACGAAGCTGACCCGGACACATTTTATTTGTTTTTGTAGGTCACGTGGCAGAGCGCCGCGAGAGATTGCTGAAGTTGACCCAGGAGAAGAAGAACAACAAAAGGTTGTTGAAACCGCAGCAAGCTACGTGCACGGGTCCAACCCCCGAGCCGGTCAGGGAAGGATGTAGTGGCTCCTCGGGTTCTCGTGACGTCGAGCGCCAAGCTGTGTTGTTGAGAAAGAAACAGAGTCATCCAGAAGGTGGGCATGCTGATGTAACCGACGGAGGGGCGGGCTCCCGAGCCTTCAGTTTACCACCCTATTTCGTGGAAAAAGACTTCTTCGAGGGTTTCCCCTTGACCATGTCTGATAACGAGTCCGACATCATCAGGCGGATCGACAAGGAAGGTCGAAGGAAGCACCTCGCTGCTAGCTTGAGGTTGAGGTTAGATGAAGAGTTTCTTCAATTTTGCGTAGATTGAGTCAGTGTCTGCTCTGATACGTAAAACTTGGGGGTTTCACGTTTGTTTTATTTCATTGGGAGTGAACTTTGCACTACTCTATTGTTTGAGTTTAATTTATGACTATGCTGAATTTTGAAAGATGATAATTATAACTCCCGTTGGAGAATTGAGATGATTCTTTATTGATGTTTTCCGTTGGGAATAAATGAAAGGAAGTTTAAGACTTTTGAACATATGAATTGTGTTGCGTATCTTATTTAATGAGCATGTATGATGTATGAAGCATGTGACATCCTATTTTGATGTTGTATTTTAGAAATTAATTTACTCTGATTTTTATATAATTTACCGACGAAGAAATAAGGTGTTACAATCTCGAGCCCCCATTACTTACTGATAACAAAATGGGTAAATGCGACTATAGGGTTTGACTGAACATTAGGACCCTCTAAAAATTTCTTAAGGTGAGAAACATGAGACATCCATGTCGCATGTCTTTGGACTCTTAAGAGGAACTCCAAATCAAGCCAGTTGTCAAACAACTACCTAGATCCGGTTCGTCGTATCCCATCAAGGTTGTGATTATGATCGTCATCCATATAAGAAAAACTCTATACTAACTATAAAGAGTAAAACAAATCCATAACCTGACTCCACCGACCAAGAAATGAGGGGAAATTATCTTGGACTGACCCCATGCTAAATCTATGTGGGAGAAGTCGGCCTAAATAGTAGAAAAATGGACAAGCAATAAGTGGAGATGCCTTAGAAGCAAGAGGATCCTAGATGAGCACCCCCTATGATCCGTTATATGGGGAGAACCACATTATCCCATAAAACCTGTCCTACGAGACAATTGTCCTAGAGAAGGTTCTAAGACCCATAAACATAAAACCTTAGTTATAAAGTCTGGCGGACGAGGAACACTTAGATGCACATTATGCTAAAACTCTAAACCTCACATTCACGACCTTTAATGACTTGGTCGTCTAAATCTTACAGTAGACCAATAGTAGAGATGGAACAGAGGAATATCCAAAGCCAATTATATTTATGTTTCTAAATGATCAGAAGCTGAAAAGAAAGGGTGGCCGGTTCTCACTATCACTACTACTTGCAAGTTACTACAAGCTAGTGGCTACAATACAAACAAGCACCACGGTTGTCTTGTGCACGTAACACACAACATTTCACATGGTCGGATGCATGTTCTTGCACAAATAAGATGCCAAAAGAACATAAATTTACATGGTTTTATACACAAATAGCCACATATGCCAGCGGTTTTCTCGTTCATTCGTGCTCTTCCCAAGTCAATGTCATTTGTTATTTGTTTGATTTCAGTGTTGTGTAGCCCATATCTCTGTTTGACCTTAGCAATGGTATACCCAAAAAATTATCTAGAAACTAGTTAAAATATGAAAGTCATGTGCAAGTGTTTGCGCCAGCTGTATTATCATAATACACCAAACCCACCTCCATAATATGATAATATGTTTTGTGTGCTCGAGCAGAGCACTCGTTAATTTAATTTGTCATCAATCTTAATTAACATAGTTTGGTTCACAAAACCTATTAAATATAAAGACAAGAGCATGTGACAAATTAAATTTAAAAAAAGAAAGAGAAATATAACTGAATTTTCTTAAACTTAGTAACTACCTAGCTAACTGTACTCTTCCTTCTCTCTTATTGTGATCAATAATAATCAACAGGAGTTTGTGGACAACTTTCATCAGAAACATCTTCTTTATCTTTAGTATAAGGTGGTGGAACATAAGGTGGAGTTGTACACCTTAACAATGCCCAATTCACACCTTGGAAAAATGAGTGGTGTTTGATTGTAGAAGCTCCCATTATTGATCCCAACCTCCTTGCTGGGTCCTTAATCAGTAACTGTGAGATAAGATCTTTTGCCGTGGTTGGCACGGTGGGTTCCTTGGGGAACTCCAAAGCTCGAGCCACGATGTTTGCTAGAGTGAGTTCATTATCCAAGCCTCTAAAAGGTGTGACGCCGTAGAATAATTCGAATATAAATATCCCTAAGGTCCACCAATCCACTGCACTGCCGTGTCCCTCACCAGAGACTATTTCAGGAGCTAAGTATTCGTGTGTCCCAACGAATGACATGGACCGAACATCGATAGGTTCAGCAACAAACTCAGGGCCGTGGAGATGAGTTTGTTTCTTCTTTCGCTTGCGTTTTGGTTGGAAACAGGATACTGCTGGGACTATACAGTTGGGTATTATGCATGAAGATGAGGCGAATTGAGAGGGTTCGGAGTGGGGGTTTTTCTGTGGGGCTACTTGTGGAGAGTCTTGGCTGGAGATTATGATCTGGGCTGTTGGTGTGGAATTGTCATCACATTTTAAAGAGAGATCAAAGTCTGTGAGCATGATGTGGCCATCTGATCTAACTAACACGTTCTCTGGTTTGAGATCACGGTATACTATTCCCAACATGTGAAGATATTCAAGTGCCATTAACACCTCTGATGCATAGAATCTGCAAGAATTATTTAAATTTAATTAGCATGAATTAAACCACCAACCAATAGTTAGTCTAAGCTAAGGAAGATGCTTGGTCTGTATTTCGCATAAAGTTTGTGATAATGCCATCTCTAATCTAAGGAAAGTTTTATTATTGGCCAACATGAGCCGAAGAATACATTTAAGAATTTCGGTTGTTAGGCCTACAAAAGGAACCATGAGGATCAGACAGGAACATAAATCAGCTTGTCTTATACCCTGTGGGGCTACTACTCTAATGCTTGTTCGGCTAACACTGGCCACTTCACAAAAGAAAACAAGAACAGAAAACCTCATATCCCATTATTCCTCTAGGAATATGAGCTTCATTTGGAGAAAGTAGTTTTTAACTTATAAAAATTATAATTTCTACCTTATATAAAGAACTAATTTTTAAATTATAAAAATTAAATTCCGAAAAAAAAATTAAAATTAAATGTATAATTACAACATTATCCTCAGTGAGATGTTTGCATTTTCACATAGCAAAAAGGCAAATTAAAAACAGTGCCAGTGACACTGGCCTATGTAGTACTCACAAGAGTTAACTCAAAAAGTTGCTTGTTTCGTATAAGACGTGCAAATAATGACAACGAAGCAAAAGCTGGAAAATAACTCTTTATCCAAATTTAGAGACATCATAATATTAGTATATTTTTTCCTAAAAAAGCAAAATAACTTTTTTTACTTGGAAATAATATTTTTCAAAAGAATTGGAGTGAAATGCACCTATGAAAGAAGATTAGGCCTTTGCTTGTTTTCATTAGTATTGTTGGTATACAGGGTTTTCTTAACCACTCACAATTTCACAAACATCCTCAACTAATAAACAAAATATAATAAAAAGTCTTGAACAGTAACGAAAAAGACAACCTCATAAGCGCTTTTTTTTTGGCCCCATATAAAAATAATTCTACCGTTTTTTATTATAAGTTGCTTTAGGAAAAAAATTTATACTATAATATAAAATTGTTTTATAATTTTAATAAATAATTAATGATATTTTTTCTATTATATTTTTAAATATTTATTATTTTCTCTTCTTTTAATTATATAAATTTATTTTCCATGCATAAGATAATTTTATAAAAAATTTCGTAATTTAAAATTTACTTATAAAAAAGAATTAAGAGAGTATATAATATGAACCAACATAAAAAAAGAAGAAAAAACAGAGTAATTACGTAACTTCACAGAAAAAGGGACCATGGCAAGATTTTAACCTTTCATTCAATTTATATAAATAAAACCCAGAAATTCCGCAAAACTTTATGGCTTCTACAATATAAAATATTACTTAAAGTATTTTTCACCCTTTCCATTAGGTCGCTCTAATTTTTTTATTTATTTCAATTTTTTAATAAAATGTATTTTTTTGAATTAAATAAGTTTTTTATCTTTTTAAATACTTTAAATTTCATTTTTAGTTTTTCTAAATTTTTTTTAAAGAATAATTCTCCTAAAAAATTAAATTATAATTTTAGTCAGTTTTCACAACTTAACGACAATTTTAGCAATAATTTTAACAACAATTTTAATAACAGTTTTAACGACAATTTTAGCAATAACTTTAGCAACAGTTATAACGACAGTTTTAACAACTTATCGATAAAATTAGAAATTATTTTAACTATAATTTAATTTTTTAGAAGGATTAAAGGAAAAATTTAAAAGGATTAAAAATAAAATTTTAAAATATTTAAAGTTATTTAACCCTATTTTTCTTTTGGCTTTTTCTCTTTAATATTGTCCAACTAGTTTAATTAACCACGACGTCACGGAATCTAACGGTTTAAGCAAGCCAAAGCTAGAAAGCCACCTCAAAATTTAATTTTATCGTTGACTTTAATGCTTATATACAATTTTCATATATAAATCATCCCAGATAACTACTCCAAGAAGTAATTAATGGAGTACTAATTATTAGTACCATTTTTATTGGATCAATCAATGCATTAAACAACCAAATTTTAATTACCTTAATCTCTATTTTAGCATCTTAATTATTATTGCAAATTTGTTCAGTTTTTATGATTTGGTTAATTCTAGACATAAACACTAATCATATCATATAAGAACACAAACAACGGTGACATATAGTGGGTCCCACGTATAGCAACAGAGGAAAACGGAGGAACGAGAAGAATGGTGGTTATGGAGCCTACAAAGCAAACATGAATCAAATAAACCGTCACTTTCGTGTTTTCATTACTCTGTTATTAAAATCACGATAACGGTTCAACTTCTAAGATTTCCACCAACACTTCCTCTGACACTCTCACACTCGATCATTCACTCTGATATTAATAATATATTAAAAATATTATAATTAAAAAAATTTAAATATAATCAAATGTAATAATGTCATATTTAAAATTTTAAATATTAAATATTTTAGAGAAATTTTTTCTGCAAATAATTTATTAATTTATACCTTAAGACAAATGTTTTTCTCATATATTAATAATAAAAATATAATATCAATCAAGATGCTAAAATGGAAATGGAGTGAAGTGCGCACCTCACGGCGGATTCAGTGAAGCGTTTATTCTGCTGCCGTTGCCGGAGAACATGAAGATCGCCGCCGGAACAAAACTCCGTTAACAGACAAAGCCATTTGGCAGCGTCGATGGTAGCATAAAGAGTAGGCAAAAAAGGATGATCAAGGGATTCAAGTATTTCTCTCTCCGTCTTCGCTCTTCCCTCCTTACTCCTACTAATAAGCTCCTTCTTATCCATCACTTTCGCGGCGAACATCGCCGGGATTTTCCCGTCGTCGTTGAGTTCAGCCAGATAAACGGAACTGATGTCCCCAGAGCCGAGACGGCGGGAGAAGCGGAGGTCGGAAGGGAGTATGCGGCGAGAAGGTGACTCTGATCGGATCCGGTGAATGGCGGACCAGCGAGGGTCGGAGGAAGGAGCGTGAGGTTTGGTGGTTGGAGGGAGGGATCTTGTGGAAGTTGAGGCGTTTGTGGTTGTTTCGGAACTGAAGCTTGTGCTGCGTTTGATGTCGGCGGTGGTGGTGGTTGTGGAGGCGAAGCTTAGGCTTTGGAGGTCGTCGGTTAGATCGTCGAGCCATGGGTCCATTGCGTTGGGGAGAGAGAAGAAAATGGGAACGAAATGGTTCAGTGGAGTTGAAGAAGAAGAAGAAGAAGAGAGTGAGAGTAATAAGAGAGGAAGTGAAAAGTCATTTTGAAAATGGGTCTTTTGTTCATTTCCATTTTCGTTTTTAAATGGGTCTTCATGGTTATAATTAGTTGTATATTTATTTATAGTAATGTCTCTAACATGATTTTGAATTTGTTTATATGATTTTTGTAATCATGCTTTTTATAATATTTTTTAATGATCATACCCCAATTTTACTACTCTAACCTTATTATGAAACATTTTACGATTTTTAATGTTTTTCATTATTTTTTCGAAAAATAAACAATAATCATCAAAAATTTATATGCACTGTGAAGTTTTAGATTGAAATTTAAGAAAAAATATTAAGTTTATTTTTTAATATATAAATAAAGTGATAATAACATAAAAACTAGCATATAATTATGAAATTTAAGATTCAAACTTTGATTAAGGTCGTACCTAATAATTTAAACTATACTTATTAAAATATTTGTCTAAATTATCTTCTTGATGTTGGTTATTAGAAGAAGAAGAAAAATTACAATTTTTTTTTTTGGTAAAGAAGAATGACAATCTTTAAAAAAAAAAGTTTGTACACTAAAAAGTTTAAGAAAAATGTCAAACTTAAATATGTAATGAGCACTTTAATTGTCTCGATGCAGATGGAAATTATGGATTATCTATCATAAATAATAAAATCATTCATTGTAAATATATAAAAAATGATATAGAATTTTTTTTAAAATTAATTCAACACAAATAATAGAGAAATTTTGTTGTATCATTTACAATACAATAATTTTATTTATAGAACGTATAAAATTATATGTTATTTGATCTTACCGGATGATCAGAATTTGTAAGGGGTCAGATAATGATTTTTTGTCGGGTTGTAATGTTGAGGAGGAAAAAAATGGAGTTGTACATGTAAGGCATTCCGACAATCAATTAAGTGTGGGAGCAAAGAGATACAAGCAAAGTATTAGGATTTTAATGGTGAATAATGAATATTCGATACCTGACCCTCACATGAGTGGGGATTTATATAGTGCCTCTGGCGCTTGGCCATTTGTCCTTATTTTTTGGCTTAGATATGCGGGTCCGTGAAAATAGATAACTGCCAAGACTTGGTCATACCGAGCAGGTGTGTCCGTAACTAGTCGTTGGTCCCGAGGAGGGCTAGGTTACGGGCAGCGGTCCGGTCGGTTCCTGGTTGTCTGGTAGACTTGAGGTCGGGCAGACCGGAGGACGTTCGTCGATCCTTGGAGGTCAGTGTCGGTCTAAGAGGGTAAATGATCGACGATGCCCGACGGAGGGCGCGAGAGATCTGGCAATGTCGTGCGTGCTCCACCGAAGGAGGATCATAGACTGGACTCACACAGGCTATTGGGCTAGTCCAGAACAATTGCCCCAAGTCGTTGCTTCTGGGCACAGGAGTGATGACTTTAGCATCTGCCCGTAGGGTGGGGCACTTTTTCGATCGGCATAAGCATTGTCTGTTTTGCCTTTTTCGCGGGGAGACGATGAGTTGGTCGTTTTGAGCTTTTAATCTGAAGAGGTAGCTTGTTTTGGGAATGCGCTGGCGAAGCGGCGCAATGATGGCCTAGGGGCTAGGGTGTAATGATGGCGACTCTAGGGCTTCCTAGGTGTGTGTTTCTCATGCGCGGGTGGTCTTAGCTATAAATACGAGAGGAATAGGGCGTTATGTACTTTTCATTCTTTTCTCATACTGCTCGTGATTGCTCGTTTATTCAACCGCCACAGCTTCTTGGAGATTTGTTGCTCGCCACCGTCCTCTTCAGCCTTCTTTCTTCTCTGACTGGTAAATTTTCAATTCTTCGTTGTCATTAGACCTTCGTAGTTCAGATATTCGTGATTTTAGTCTTAGAAATGCATGTGGTTAGGGTTAGGACCTTATCAGTTTGGGTGTTTTTAGACGTGTGTTAGTAGCGGATGGTGGTTCTGCATTTTTAAGGGCGCCAGAGCCGCCGCGAGTTTTCTCCTGATATTCGCGATGCATCGTGGGTGATCGTTGATGACTTAGTCTATTTTTCACTGACTGCGAGGCATGTCTTTATTGAAGAAGTGTTTGCTCGCTCAGATGTCTTAGTGAGGGTTCTGGTCGGGGACATAGTCATTGTTTATCAGCGCCCTTTCACTTGATTGGTGGTGGAAGGATGGTTCTGGCGATGATGTCGAACTCACCTCTATCATCTGTTTTTCAAGTACTATGGCCAACAGTAATGGGGATGATTTTTCAGGTGAACGAACTGAATCCTCTCAGAGCTCTACAGACAATACCTGTAGTATGTCGAGCATCTAGGAAATTTCTGGGGGTGAACCGCACAGGTCCAACCAGCTGTTAGGGGGAGAAGACGCGGATATGGCCCCATCGATCAGGGTGTCATGTTTTCGCCCGACGAAGATGAGGACTTGCGGTCTTGGGTCGCTCAAGATCCTTGGGATTGGGTTTCTTATTTCTTCGAACACCCTGATGAAATTTTCACCGAGGTATATATATGCACATGACGATGGGGGTCGAGGGGATTGGTCGCTTTGGATCCCTTCTCCAAATATGAAAGAGGCGGATCCCCATGTACGACATTGTTTTCAGGGAGATGGGCCTCTGACTCCCCTTTTCAGATTTCTAAGTGGCCGTTTTTCATCATCTTCGATTGGCCCCTTCACAACTGCATCCGAACGGGGTTGCTTTCATGCAGGCGTTCGAGATCATTTGCGACTACTTGAAGATCGGGGCCACCATCCCTCTGTTCTTTAATTATTTCCATCTCCATGGGAGCAGGATTGATGGGAAGTGGGGATGGGTTGCTCTGAAGCAAGGCAACAGGAAGTTGTTTAAAGCTTATTTGGAGTCTATTGTACCTCAAAATTTTCCCTATTCTTTTTCAAGACATTACTCACCAAAGATCTCAAAATGCTCAAAGGTTCTCAAGGGTTTGATCAGACAAGCTCACCTCTAAAGCACTAAGCCTCCAAATTAGGGTTTTGACTGAGAATGACTGATCACCGACTTTTGACTTAGTACATGACCTAATGGCTTGAAACATAATCCCAAGGACTCAAACGCAACATGTTGACCTAATTTCATGGCTCGAATCAGTTCTCAGAATCAAAGGTTTGATAGTTGAAATTTGGATCAACTGACAAAAAGTCAACCGATACAAAAAAAAATCAAACATTGACTTTTTGGTCAACATTAAAATTCAAATATCAAAATTCATAAAGACCTACAAAAATATCAAACTTGATCATCAATAAAATCAAGAAAGTCAAGAAAGTCAACAAAAAAGTCAAAGTTTCCAATACTTAGAAATTTTCTAAGTGTTTTTACACTTGATAATTTCAATACTTCATGACATTTTTTCACCAAGATACAAGATGATTCAAAGAAAATTCTCAACATGAAAGTTGTAGATCTTGATGAATTCTACAACTTTGTGTTACAGGGTTTATGTTCAAAAGATGCTTAGATTTGAATATATAAGCCCATGAAGTCATGACATTTTTTATCTAACACTTAGAGAAATTTTCAACAGGTTTTGGTCAGGTTTTTGTCCCAACTTCTTGGTCAGTTTTCATCAAGTTCCAATTTGATTTAGCCAAAATGGTTAACATAAAAGTTGTAGACAATGTTTCAAGCTTCCCAAAATATTCAAGAGCATAAATTTATCATACTTGAGCTAGGAGATCCAAAGGCATGAAGTTGGGCATCCATTCTTGAATTGCAAGTCATTTTGGTGAAGAACATATAATTCAATCTATATGATATGATGCATAATCTTGTGTTGCAGGCCTTCTAACTTGTAAATCTCACAATAATTTAATGCTTACACAAACTTTTGAGCTATGGTCCATTTGATTTTAGCATTGTCCAAGTGATCTTTCCATTTTCGGCATAAAGTTGACATTGCCATTCTTGCAAAGTAGCTTCAATCACAAAGTCAGCTCTTCTTGAGCTTGTAACTTGTTCCTTATACACACACTCAACACACAAAATCAGACAAGCATGCTTAAAGTGTCCAACAACTCTATGAAACAAAGTACAAAGCATTGGAACTATGATCTTCAAGCTTGCTTCATGTACCATCCAACCTAGCCTTAACATGTGATTTTGAAATTTTGATCAACTATTGTCTTAAAACCTCTTGCCTATAAATAGAGAGATCATTTGCAAGATAAAAATGGATGAAAAAGCCCTCAAAACTTCTATACTCTCAAAAAAACCAGAATTGTCCATAAAATCTCCACTTTTGAGCTTTGAAGTCCAAATATTTGAACCTCTCCCACCTTGCAAGTTTTTCCCAAACAAACCATCCAAATACTTCATATACATTATATAGAAGTTGTTAAAACATAAGAACAACTTCTGTAAAATCACTATCACCATCTTCCAAACTCAAAAAAGGTACTTTGCAACTTGACTTGGTTGGAGTGATTCAGCTACTTTCAGCACAAAGGGAGGATTGGAACAACTTCAAGAAGGTCCAATGGAGCTCGATCAATCACCACTTCATACCCAAAAATATTTGTACGTGTTATAAAGTCTTCGCTTCAAGGGGTAAATTTTCTCAAACTGTAATATCTTTATCCATAAATCCTTTGCTTTTGCTTTCAAAAGGATACAACAGGACAAATCAAAGCCATAACTTAGCAAAAAAGCCAGGCCAGGGGATGACATGGGTACCCGTGTCACACTACACAGCCCGTTTCAGCTCAGCTGGGTTGAAAACTTAACAAAAATGCAGTGCAAGCCTTGACACAGGTGCTCGTGTCATATGACACGGCCTGTGTCAACTCAACTGATTCAGACACGTGCAAAAAATGGGCAGGCAGGGGCTGATACAGGGCCCGTGTCACACGACACGGCCCGTGTCAATTTGGTTGGAACAAAAATAAGAAGAAGAAGCCAGGAATAGGTCCTGAAATGGGTGCCC